TGTAGTTTTCTGTTTTTGTAAACACCTGTATGGCCTTTCACACATTTGAAATAATATAAACAATATCTATCACACTTTTGACTGCCTTTTTTAAATATACACAGTACTTGTACTTTTACTTATACTTGTACTTTTAATACTTGAGTAGCAATTTTTTAAATACTTCTACTTGCAATACTTAACTCATTGACTGGCAGCCATTTTCAGAACAGAGTCCCATACTGCCAGAGTTTTTTGAGCATTTTGACTGATTTTTCTAGAGCCACAGAATAGTTTGTGCTATGACTATGTAAACACCGAACACACCAAAAGAAAGAGTAGACTCTCTTCTTTCATCAGGAAAAAAAATGTGTTTCTACCTTATTCCGTTCTTCCTGGACTTGCATCTCACCGGCGACATGTTCTCTCATAGAACCGTTCCCTTTTTCTTATTTGCCTACAGTCTATGCTCATCTCCCATCAAAAGTGGCACTGCCCCCTAGAGGGTCAATTTGTTACTACATACTCTGTCTAGAAGCCCATATTTACGGACAAACTTTCGCCGATCGTCCCCCAAGCCACTCGCATTGAAAAACATAAAAGACGTCTATAGACGTCTTTGGCAGCGAATGAGTTAAGTACAAAAAAAATTGAGTACTTCTGTACTTCCACTTAAGTCTGGAGTTGAAAGATCACTTCTACTTTTACTCAAGTAATTTTTTTTACATAGCACTTGTACTCCTACTCCACTCCTCTACTCCAGTACTTTAAACATCTCTGGTCAGGGGTCAGGGGTCAGGGGTCAGGGGTCGGGCCACCGGGTGCTGAGTCGGGGGTCTGTCTTTTCCTGGTTTTTCCAGGTTATGGGGGTCTGGGCCTGTCCATCGAGGGTCCCAGTAAGGTGGACATAAACTGTGATGATGTGGAGGACGGCACCTGTAAGGTCACCTACTGCCCGACCGAACCAGGAAACTACATCATCAACATCAAGTTTGCCGACCAACACGTTCCAGGTAACAGATCCAGGTTCTGCTGGGGGGCAGAACATGGAGGAAACAAGGCTAACACGGCTTATGTCCAATCATGTGCACCTTATTTATGAGCGTGTAAATGTGTATGATATAAATATATACAAAATATATGACATACATTATTAGGTTGCAGCGTTATAAAAACTTAAAATGTGTGAAAATACATATTAGATATTTGGTGTGATTTTGAATAAATATATATTATATATAAAATATATGATACAATTTATTTTATTATAAATAAATATAAATGTTGTCATAGAGGAATAACACTGCATGTAGAGGTTGAAGTGGTATAAAAGTGGTATAAAAACTTAATAGACAGGAAGTACAGGCGGAGACAGGAAGTAAACGCAGAGACAGGAAGTATAGACGGAAACAGGAAGTACTGACAGAGACAGGAAGTGCAGAGACAGGAAGTACAGGCAGAGACAGGAAGTACAAATAGAGACAGGAAGTAAAGGCAGAGACAGGAAGTACAAATAGAGACAGGAAGTACAGGTAGAGACAGGAAGTACAGAAATAGACAGGAAGTAAAGACAAAGACAGGAAGTAAAGGAAGAGAAAGGAAGTACAGACAGAGACAGGAAGTACAGACAGAGACAGGAAGTAAAGGTAGAGACAGGAAGTAAAGGGCAGAGACAGGAAGTACAGACGGACAGAAGTACAGACGGAGACAGGAAGTAAAGGAAGAGACAGGAAGTAAAGGAAGAGACAGGAAGTAAAGGAAGAGACAGGAAGTACAGACAGAGACAGGAAATACAGAGACAGGAAGTACTGACAGAGACAGGAAGTAAAGGTAGAGACAGGAAGTACTGACAAAGACAGGAAGTACTGACAAAGACAGGAAGTACTGACAGAGACAGGAAGTACAGGTAGAAAC